CTCAATCTCTATTGAGCAGCTTCAAGAGGGCTTGTATGTGGTCAGTGAGTTGCTGAATTAATGTCAATGTGATTCATGATTTTGTGAAATCAGTAGTGGTGTGAACAAGAACAAAAGTTTGTGTACCTATCAACTGTGTTTGGGGACTGCTGTAGTGTCTGGAAGATCAAACTCCTGACAGCAGTACTTAGTTGGCGACTGGGAATTCAGATTAGAAGTAGCATTGGAAGAGCATCATGGCAGAAACTGGAGATGGTCGTAGTGATCAAAAACCTAGTGTGGTAATTCCCTCTAACTATCTGGGTGTGCAAATGACTTCAATTAAACTTAATGGTGAGAACTATGTACCATGGGCCAAGCCAGTGGAAGTTTTTCTCAAGGCAAAGAGGAAAGTGAAGCATGTGAAGGAAGATAAACCACCTGCTGACTCTTCAGGGTTTGATGACTGGGAACAGGAAGATACCCAAATCATGACATGGTTATGAAATAGTATGGAACCCAAAATAAGTGCCAACTTTATGTTCTTAGATACAGCTAAGGACATATGGGAACATGCCAAGAAGCTTTATTCTGGGCAGGATAATACTACAAGGGTATATCAGCTCTATCAGGAGTATTTCGACCTGCAGCAAGGGAATAAAATCCTAGAAGAGTACTATGCCAGTATGAAGAACCTCAGAAATGAACTCAATGTCTATCATCCCCTCACTCTAGATGTTAAGGTTCAACAACAACAAAGGGAACAACTAGATGCCACTAGGTTCTTAGTGGGGTTGAAATCAGAATATGAACTAGTTAGGGCCCAAATATTAGGGGGCTCTACTCTTCCTACACTTGAGGAAGTGTTTGCACGGTTTCGTAGGATTTCTTTGGGACCTATAGAGAATCCCACACAGTCTAAAAGATCAGCATTTGTGATAGCCAGAGGAGGTGGACGTGGTACTAAAGGGGGAGGACATGCCTCCCGAGGAGGTCGTGGTGGTTCCGTATTTGGCCAAGGTGGTGGTCGTGACTCAGGGGGAGGCCGTGGTAAAGGAAAAAGTAACTCTACAAGGAAGTGTACCCATTGTGGCAGGGACAGACATTCAGTGAATTTCTGTTATGATCTCCATGGCCCTCCTACATGGGCCAATCATGCTGTAGCTGGTGGGGTTGATGTCAGTGATAACCAACAGGTAGATCTAACTCCTTCCACATCTACATCTGTTTCCGGGAAGGAGACGGTGAGTGTACCGCGTGATGAGTATGAGAGGTTCCTCCAGACTACTTCACAACATACTACTGTTAGACAGTTTTGTATGCCCTTAGCTCCAATAAGTTTTGATGTACTTTTGACATTTAGTGTAAATGAATAAAGTGCATGTTTGATTCATGTTGTGTGGTATGTTTCTATGTAAGACCCTTAAACTGGACACTTAATGAGACTCGTGTTAATTTAGAAT